TTCCTGCTTTGAGGTATGACACAATGCCCAAAAGATGGTGGGGGTGGTGCAGGGTTTTTTGCCAGCCCTCTCTCAACTGGAAAATTTACTTGCTTAGTATCATCTACCTAGTTTCAGCTTCTCTGAAAGGGAAGAAGCTGAAATAAGAAGCTGAACCTAGAATTAGGGCCTCCTAGTTGCATTTTCCCCTCAGTGACGCTGGCATGAGTAGATCCAAGAAAGGAGTGAAGAGGGTGCAGCCACACCTGCTTCAGCTATGTGGTGTGTGCAAAACCTAGTCTGTGCAGGCTTCAGCCAGAGCTTTACCTGCGCAGGGATTTCTCTGAGCTCATCAGCTGGTTGGCACAGGATTTTGCTGGAGCCACTGCTTTTGCATGACTCTAGAGACCCCATTTTCCCCCTGTCGCTGAATTTGGCACTGGGAAGGGGGCTGGGGTAAATAGTGGTGGTGCCAACCAGCTGGTAAACTCAGAGAGCTCCTTGCACATGTGGGGCACAGTCAATGGGGGGTGCAATCATACCACCTTGCCTCCCCTGAATCCACTGGTATCAATCCAAAATAAATCTGTCCTCTCTCTCCCAGTGAAGTCATTCCTGATGTAGTTAGGAGCTGAAGCTAGAACATGATGTCTGCTCTTGGAGGTAACCAGCTTATTTCTGTTAAAGCAAATAAAAGAGAATAGATATTCTAAAAATTCTCCTGCTTTCAGGGCTCCTTGCAGCAGTGCAGGTGACTTGTTCCTTTCTTTGCTTTATTTCATAGCACCTTTGTTCTGTAAATGTCATTGCTCAGCCTGATTTGCATTACTCTCTCCCTTCCCTTACATTTCTGTTTAAATATCATTTTCTGCTCTCCTCAGCCCCACAATTTCCTTTGCTGCCCCCCACCTCTTCCCCTACCTGGCATGGCTGATACTGACCGTCTTACTCATTTAATTATGTCCCATGTACTGTATCTAGCCCCAACTCTGTATTTACATAACTCAGCTCCTTGAAGAAAACCTTATCCTATAACTTCAATAGACTGATGAGCTCTCTGTTCTTAATGTGGCTCTCACTTTGTGCTCAGCTCCTGGCTGTCTATAATTGGCCAAACACTCGGAAGTCTGAGAGACTTCTAATGAAAGGGTCTCACACTGTTTATTTTAAAGATGAAAAGGTTCTTTTCCGAATAGACTTTGCCTTTTTATCTCAAAGTCTTTTTGTTGCTGGCTGGTCTAGCTTTCTGACTATGTCTCTTGGATTAGTAGCAAACTCTGAAACCCTTACTCTTTAAGTCTCCCCCGCATGTATTTAATGTAGG